AAAAAAAAAACATATGTAGAAATAGAAGCTGAAGGTCCCCATACATATGAATAAATTAACTCATTAACTCAAGGTGCCTTGAAGCGGTAAATTGAGAAACTTTAAAAGGGAACTTGTGACTTTTTGCCAATTGAAAATCAGGGCAAACTGAACTTCTTTTGTTCTCGCCAATTGGAAGTTTATTTGCAAAAAGAACTTGCTGAACTAATGGATAAGAAGAATGGCCTAGTCAGTAGTGCCAATTCGAGATGGAAGTGTGTACGCCTACAAAAGCCAATGCTGGATTCTTTTGAAATAGTGGTGAAAAACAATATAAACCATCATGCAGATGGCCTTTATATTGGATGCTCCCCGAGTAATCCTTTATAAGAAAGAAATTTTCATGGAACTCAAAGTACACATGATTGTCAGAAGCAAATTTATGCACATATAATTTTTTTTTGAATTTTAGAAACAAAAAGAACTTGGTTAAGAATAAAGGAACGTGTTCGTGTGGTGAGTTTGGAGGTACCAGAATGAGATATCGTCAAACCTGCCCCATTTCCTTCTTGAATTTGGTTTGAGTCGTTGTACTCATCACTTCAAATGTTGAGGTTGTTAAAATCAGAAGTCATGTGGTGTGTTGCTCCAGCATCGGGATGCCAATCACTTTCTACATTCTGATTATTGGCAGCTACCATTTCTTGTGCATTAGTTTTCTTGGAAGGGTGAAGGAAACTAATATCGAACCTGTGACAACATTTGTGGATAGTGTGTCCTGATTTTTCACATAGTTGACACCAAAGCGAGGATTGATTGGTACCATTAATGTCCTTAGTGTTATTGTTCTGGTAATTGCTATGACGATATCCACTACGATTGTTGAATTGATTACGCCCTCGGCCTCAGTAATTGTTAGAATTATCCCCACCTTGACCATGAGAGGTATCTCCTTGTCATGCGGCATTATTAGCACTAGCACCAGCAATAGAGAGAGGCTGGTTATTGTGGAGAATTCGTGCTTCACTAGTTAACAAAAGAGAATAAACCTCTTAGAGAGTTACAAAATAATTATGGGCAGAGATAGTGGCAACCAGTGAATCATATTCTGGACCAAGTCCAGTCAATACATATGTGATGATATGTGAGCTTTTTGAGCTTATCTATGAGATTTTTGATGTGCATAAAATACTCAGTGGCAGAGAGATTACCCTTACGGGCTATGGCAAGTTGAGACCAAACTTGGACAGCTTTAGCGTGGAATTAAGGAGCAAAGCAAGTGAAGAGAGCAATCCAAATATTGTGTGAAATGGTGCACTGGTAAACCTGAGCCAGTACCTCATCAGTGAGAGAAGCATTGATGGTGCTAAGAATGAGATTATCTTGTTTCACCCACTGAGCATATGTGGGATTGGGGGAGGTTGTGCCGTCTTTGGCAGTGATTTCTTAGGGGGGAGGTTTAATGGTTCCATCTACATAGCGGAAGACCTCTTGGCCTTTGAGATAAGGAAGCATTTGTGCATTCCATACAGGGTAGTTATTTTTGTTCAATTTGGAGACATTGATGTTGGAAGAGGGATTGAAGATTGGAAGTGTGAAGGTGATATTGTCAGAAGAGGTTGAACAGTTAGGGGAAGACATTCTAGATGGTTGTCAAGGATAGGCTCTGANACTGAAGAACATAAAGGGAATTATCTAATTTAGAGCCAACAAAGCCTAGTGATTGTAGTTTGTCTATGAGCCATGAGAATCAAGCTCTTGGTGCTTGCCGTAGCCCATAAAGACTTTTGTGAAGTCGGCAAACATGATGAGGGTAATCTAGATGCACAAAGCCAGTCTATTGACTCATATAAACTTCCTCTTGGAGCATCCCATGTAAGAAAGCATTNAATACCATGTAAAGTTATAGTAGAGTTTGAATTTGAACTCACTGTTTTTTTCACAATTTGAATATACATAGTATGTACAATTTATACCAATGAAAGTCTAATTGTTCTACAATATCTCANAGATGCACAAAGCCAGTCTATTGACTCATATAAACTTCCTCTTGGAGCATCCCATGTAAGAAAGCATTTTAGATGTCGATTTGTTGAATTGACCAATTATGCGATAGTGCAGTAGAAAGTNAATTGTTCTACAATATCTCAGCTGATAGAGTTTGAATAATTCTACAACTCAACATGATAGCTGGAGTTTATGAGGATCAGGCTCATCCTCATGCTGTGTAGCAGAGTCAGTTAGGCTCAAAATGTCTACTTCAATACGGTGTTAGTGGAGGACGCTAACAAGATGAAGAAAACAGAGTGATGAATACAAATTTTTAAACAAAGTCAGAACTTTGCTTTGATACCATGAAAGAACTTGCAAAATCTATATATTTCCTCTCANCCCCTTGTTGCTAGTGATATCCCTTTGCTACTAACCGAGCTTTGTACTGGTATATGCTACCATCTGCCTTTCTCTTTATTCTATATACCCACTTGCAGCCTACTAGGTTTATGATTGGTTTTGGTGGTTTAAGTGTCCAGGTACCATTTCTCAACAAGGCGTCAAACTCAATGTTCATGGCCTCATGCCCCTTGTGATCTTTTACTACATCTGCGAAGCATGATGGCTCACTAGACACTGGATTTTGCTACTGCTAGTAGTGTCCGAGGTAGAGGATATTTTATAGTTCCATCAAATAGAACTCTTGGGTTGAAAGANACTTTTTGAATAGAAGATGAGTTTTTTTCCGGTACATAAAAATAGATTTGCAAATAAGTCATTCCATATATGCGCTAGGGAGCATTGCCCCTCAATACTACATTGNTAGAGGATATTTTATAGTTCCATCAAATAGAACTCTTGGGTTGAAAGAGTTGGTTTTTGATCTAGTGAGCATTTGATGTTGGATTGGTGCAGGAGCATGAGGAAAAAGATTTGTAGATGATGCTGGAACATCAGAAGGTGCAGGAGTGGATTCACATTCCTTGCTGGAGGTAGTTGAATACTTGATTGAAGTAGATTTGTATGCTGTTTGGAACCAAACTCAATAGTAGGAGAGACATTTGAAGTACCTGTGGAAGGGATAGTATGACTCGGGGAAACCCGAGAAGGTTGTAGGGTTAGAGGTAGAGCTATGGATTGAGTCACAGACTGAGATTGTGTTTTGTTCTGANAGGGCTGAAGCTAAGGTCCCACTGCATGCTTTGAGCACTAAAGAATAAGTTTATCCCTAACGAGCTGCCATAGCTATGAAGACTCGAACCCAAACATTGAATAAGAAAATTTAAGTTTTTACCCACTGAGACAACAACTTGTTGTTAATAGAAGAGGTTTAAAACACAACTAAGGTTACAATTGAATTTCATTTTGTACAAGATGAATCATTTTCTAATGCAATTTTCATAAGATAAACTTCTATGTCGAATAGAATGAAAAACCTCATTTNAACACAGACTTTCTTGGTTGACAAGTCAAGACATTTGTAGCCTTGATGACAAAGGCTATAATCGATAAAAACACAAGTTTTAGAATGAAAATCAATTTTATGTCTATTAAAAGGNAAAAACCTCATTTTTCTACTAATATCCGGTAAGGTTGATTTCTTCAAGTGAATTTTTAGATGTCATAAGATCTTTGGAAAAATAAACTCATGGAGCTAAATTAAAGATAGTACGAACAATCAAATTTACTAATCGGACAAGATGAAAAAAGCAATAAGTGGCTCATCTTTATTCATCAAAATAACATAGGCTCATCTTTATTCATCAAAATAACATAGTTCTAACTTAGGATGCAATCTCAGAATTATAACATTCTCAAGACACAAGTAGATAGAATTTCATCAAAAGTAGTAAGACAGTATTAGCACGCATCAAGAAGCTCACCCTCATTTAGCTTTCCAAGAGGACAGAGGAGGAGTATTTGCAAATCTCCAAGTGAAAGCCATGTGTGAAGATGAATAACTCTCACCCTTCACCGCATTAGCCGTATCAATAGACTCAGGCTCAACCATTTCATCGGGTGTTAGTTTTATAGATAAAGCTCCGACATTCTGATTGAAGTTTTTGATCTTGGTGGTGCCAAGTATGGGAGAAACATCATCCCCTTGGTGATGGACCCAGGACAATGCTAGCTGTGGTATAGTGCGTCCCTTCCTTGTTGCTATTATATTAACTTGCTCATACAACTTTTTCTTATGCTCGAAATTCTCTAGTTGAAACCTTGGCATAGTCTTCAAAAAATAGACACATAATTCAGCATAAGAACAACAGTGACTCATTATTTCAATGAATCATTTTTTAAGACAGAAGAAGAAACTTCATGAAACCACAAAGAGACAACCACAAAGATCAATGCCACTAAGATAATATCAATTATCCTCAAAATAATGTTGAAGAGAGACTTTTTGCAGATCTATATACCTTTCTGAAGTTAATTTTTGGCAATTTCTCAACTATTTGTGGACTTGATGTGAAGAAGCCCTTTCCTAAAGGACGTTAGGGAACGATTCCAATGCCAAGTTCTCTGAAAAGTTATAAGATTAATGAACCTAGAAACTTGAAATGTTCATCACTTCCTAAACAAAATAGTTAGCATTTGGCACGAACAAAATGTCTCACTTGCAAGTGGAAATGACCTCTTCCTCTGCATCTCTAGTCCATAAGGACCATTCCAGCTGTATAGCTGTGATTGGATGAACAACATGCACCCTTCTGATTATATCAGGTAAAGCTTCAGACAGACCAATGTAATTTATTTTACCCTCTTCAACTAATTTCTTAAGTGCTCCTATTTGGTTAAAAAGCATGGCATAAAAGTGATTAAGCAAAGTGTGACATGAACTTTTTCATTGCTTTTATTTTTTATTTTTTTTTTGGGGGGGGGGGGGACCACTAGAAAATCAAGGACAATAATGGAATCGTTAATTAGATTCCTCAAACAAATACGTAAAAATGAAATTGAACTTGTCAACTAATGATAAAAATAAAGAGCAATCCAAGAAAAGTTTTGTTCATTAGATTTGGAAGTTGAGAAAAACTAATAATTATGCAAATTTATTCCTTAACTATGGGAAAATTATACACAAGCATACCATCAAGATCTTGCAAAATACAACATGACTTATATTCATTATTAACTTGATGCATTATGGAACATCAGAGAGGCAAGATAAACCAACCGTGATTTCAATTGGTACACGAGTATCAATGCAATGAACGTAGTTGAGATCAATAAAATCGATGTCAAGACCCTTCAAGCTAGCCTCGCATGCATGTGTATGACCCTTCAACCGTTCAAGACCCTTCAACTGTGTCAAGCCTCCCGTGTAAAAACCGAGCATGCATGTGTATGAAAAAAAAATATATAGGAAAATATTTGTTTATAGTGCTTGTTTTAATAAGTTTATAATTATAAAAAAAATTAGAATTAAAAAAAAATGAAATTGAGTTATTTATGAAAATGCCATTACATGGCATTTCTTCCCAAGCTGCTACCTAGCAGCACAAGAGGAGTTCTCCTCAGCCTTCTCCAAGCTTCCAGAGTGATTGAGTAGTTGCTTAGGAGTTCAGCAAGTCTCTGGATAAGAGAGAACTGCCAAGAGGAGAGAGGGAGAAGAGAGAAGATAGAGAANAGTGATTGAGGAGTTGCTTAGGAGTTCAGCAAGTCTCTGGATAAGAGAGAACTGCCAAGAGGAGAGAGGGAGAAGAGAGAAGATAGAGAAAGAAAATCAAATTTGAAATTTTGGATTTGTGGAAGAAGCTACTTTGAACAATTAAAGGTATGCTACTAGACTAATTTGAGGTCTAGGAATCTCTTGGTATCATTAAAATTTCATATGATGTACTACAATTGGTCGAATTTATGTTTTAAATTTTTGGGTTCTAGGTTTTTATGAAATGGGTTTTGAGTTTGAGGTCATTTTGGTTAATTTGGTTGGCATGGCTGTGTTGTGGGGGAGGTAGAGGAGTATTTTGGTAGTTATTTCAAGGCTTTCCATGTCAGAGGTGATGGGGTGGTGGTGATGAAGTTTCGGCCATGGTGGATTTTTGATGTCTTGGTTTTGGGGCTTAAGCTTTGGAGGGAAGGTTGTTCCTAGCTAAAATGGATCTTAGGAATCTATTTGTGACCTTAGAAATGGATTTAGAAGTTGTTAAGATGGTTAAAATGCAAGTTGCAGGTCTGGCCATAATCTAGAAACTTTATTTTTGGTTTACTTTGACCGATTTTTTTATGGGTTTAAGTTTAATTCGAAGCTTGAGAATTATGGGATTTGTTAGAGTGATGTGTGATGAGTTCTTAGGTTCAAAATTAGGTGAAAAGGTGTATTGAGTAGGTAGAAATAAGAGTGAGAAGTATGGGGGTTAGGGCTGGTGGAAGGTGCCTAGGGTTTTGGTCAAAGTGACCAAGGAAGAAGATGAAGGAGGAGGAAGTACACCAGTGCACCTCGACGGTGCGTGAGGGGCCGTTCAACCTCCGCTTGAGTTCTGGTTGGTGCCAAAAGTTCTGTAACGTCTGTGCGAAAATTTCACTAAAATTTCAAGTCGATTAAACGGCCGAATCAAAATTAGGATTAAAATGATTGTTTTAACCTCCGGAGCCAATTTGACCCAGTTTTTGGATGATTTTGGGAAAATAAATTTTATATTCATTCTTATAGATGTTAATTGAGTATGTGTATGAAAATTCATTGAAAAATAACATCATTTTATTTTTGGCAATTTCGGATCGAAAAGAAGCGCATGATAGAATTTCTCAATTCCGGATCAGTCAAAATTTTTCAAATTTATTTTTAAATCATGTATTGCATTACTTATGAATTATTAATATATTTTAAAACTTATGATTGATGATTTTGAATTTGGACTGGAAATCATAGATCCGGATTAGGGTTTTGAGTGCGGTAACGCACAGTGGTCCAAAATGATGCAATTGTGGTGAATACGAAACATTAAGAAATAAATTCATGTGCATTTATTTTCATTGGTTAATATATTTTTGATTCTATACTCATTTGTATTAATCCATGTGTTAACTGTTAGGGTCGGAGGCTACTACCTCAGTTACACATAGGAATCGACTGTAAAGAAAGGAAGGGTATCTATCAGCGGTAAATGTGAAGTGTACTGCTTCATAATACTTAGAAATAAAATTATAACTTTTAGGAATTGATTTGATGTTGATTTGCTTAAGCTATGGATCAAATATGTTTTGTTGAGAAACTTGTGATTTGTTGAAAAGCTTGTGATTTGAGTAGTATCCACTGTGCTAGAGTTGTTGATAGCTTGACATGACTTACATGTTGTTGATTTGGACATTGTACAGTTGTCGTGAGACTGCTTGACATTGCTTAAATGTTGTAGATAGCTTGACATTGCTTAAATGTTGTTGATAACCTGACATTGCTTAAATGTTGTTGTTGACTCATAGCACATGTGAACTATTTATAATGTTGTTATATTGGTAGATATTATGATATTTCAAAGTGAGTTGAAAACACATTGATTTTGACGTTCTCCTCAAATTGTGAACATATTTTGGTGCAATGATATTTAATCTATATTTTTTATATCTCCATTTATTATGATACGCAGTACACTTAAGAAAATCATTAGTTTCAGGATGCCAAAGTCTAGAGTGAGGTCCACTACTGCATTAGCATGGTAAAGATGGAGGAAAAACTAAGGAAATCTGGTTATGTACATACTGTACATGAGTGTCTGTTTTTCCTGTTGTTTGTTGTGAAGGGATGGAATCCCTAATCCTTTATTTTGGCAAAAACGACATCGTTGTGTACCCTATTATATAGTTTCTATTTTGATTGTGGCATTATTGATTTTTAAAATGCATTATTGCATTACAAATACATGTATTGCCACGTGTTGAGTTACGCTTCCATCTCTAAAAAACCAAAGAGGTCTCTCGGGATGGAGTGTGATAGTTTTTGTTATCAGAGCTAGTGTTTATAGATTCTGTAGATATGTTAAAGTCTAGCGCTAGTAGTGGACCGTAGGAAGTATGTTGGTGAGTCGGTAAAGTGGGTACGAGTTCTTAGTCATGGTCTAAGATGTCTAGTGATCGCATGGTTCATATATGCATATGCATATTATTTTATGTAACTAGATTTGAATTCTGGATATAGAGCGATGGAACCAAATTACTACGTTGAGGAGATAGACTCTGATGCATCTAATTCAGTTGAGGGGTCAGTTCAATCAAATCAAGAGTTCTATAGTGTATCTCATGGTGTAGAGGAACATTCTGATGCAAGGGTGAGAGAGACTAGAAATGTCGAGTGGGAATTAGCACAGCTTGAAATGACAAAGTCTCATATTTCCTTATTCGAGCATTTTAAGAAACTTGGGCCACCAAGTTTTGCGGGGTCAATAAACCCAGCTGAGGCGAAAAACTAGAAAAAAGCTATGATGCGTATCTTTGATATTATGCGCCCAACTGATGAACAAAAAGTTAGTTTTGCTACCTTTATGCTCACGGGGGATGCTTTAAATTGGTGGCAGGATACAAAGAGATTGATGACCACCTCGACACAAGGAGTTCATGATACAACTCCAATAAAGGTTACTTGGGCTATGTTTGAGAAAACGTTTGATGAACAATATTTTTCACAGTCATACCGGTATGAGAAAGAGCAAGAATTCATGGAGTTATCACAAGGGAAGATGTCTGTAGCTGAGTATGAATCCAAATTCTCAGCATTGTCTCATTTTGAATTTGATATGATAAAAATAGAAGAATCCAAATGTAGAAGATTTTAGAAGGGACTAGAGTATTCTATACGGTTGCCACTTACAGCTTATCATGCGAATACTTTTGTTGAGCTAGTGAATATGGCAAGATGGGCGGAAAAAGAAGTGAATGAGAAAATTGAAAACGATGGGAAGGAGAAACAACGTCAATCGAAAAGTCATAAGAAAGGTAAGTATGAGGCAGGACAAACTAGTAAATATATTGGTAATTTTTCTAGGAACAGTCAGAGGATGCAACCTTTTAGAAGCCATAATGTAAATCGAGTTGGGAGAACATTTTCAGGGCAGAGAAAGATTCCATATGGACAAAGATTCAACGGCCAATCTAATCGAGGATCTTCAAGTGAGTAGAGCAGACAAGCCACTTGTTATCAATGTGGGGCATCAAATCATTTTATTAAAGATTGCTCATAGCTAGATCGAGGCATTGTGTGTTTTAGATGTGGTGAACCCGAACATATAGCTTCGCAGTGCCAAGGAGGGTCTGCATCTATGTCATCTTCAATTGGTAGTGTGAGGACTAGTGGTAATGTTTCTTCCAGTAATCGTGGGTGTGGGAGAGTAGCAACAAACAAGTCTATTGCTCCAGGAAGGGTATTTGCTATGACCCGCCAGGATGCTCAAGCCATTCCTGAGGTTGTTATAGGTACACTCTCTATCTCCGGTATAGATGCATGTGTACTGATAGATCCAGGATCTACACATTCATTTGTATCATGTGCATTGAGCATGCATTTGGACCGACCCTTAACATTTTTGGATACTAGTTTAGTTGTTTCTACTCTAGTAGGAGAGGTAGTGATAGTAAAAAAGGTATATAAGAATTATGTGTTACATGTGGGTGACAGAGATTTATATGTTGATATTGTACCTCTTGGTATTCAAGATTTTGATGTTATTTTGGGGATGGATTGGTTATCAGCATATCATGCTACTATAGACTGTTTTAGGAAAGAGGTGATCTTTAAGCTTCCAAATGAAACATAATTTCAATTTTTTGGTGATCAAAAAGTGACCCCTACATGCCTAATTTCAGCTATGAAAGCTAAGAAATTATTGAGGCAGGGTTGTAAAGGATATCTTACTTATATAGTGGACACCAAGAAAGAAAAGGTACAACTTATGGATATTCTAGTGGTTCAGGAGTTTCCAAATGTATTTCTAGAAGAATTATCTGGACTACCACCAGTGAGAGAAGTGGAGTTTACCATTGAACTAGTCCCAAGTACTTTACCAATATCTATTACTCCCTATCACATGGCTACTACTGAGTTAAAAGAATTGAAGATACAATTACAAGATTTACTGGAACGGGAATTTATTCAGCCTAGTGATTCACCATGGGGGTGCTCCTGTCTTATTTGTGAAGAAAAAAGACAGAANCAAATACATGTATTGCCACGTGTTGAGTTACGCTTCCATCTCTAAAAAACCAAAGAGGTCTCTCGGGATGGAGTGTGATAGTTTTTGTTATCAGAGCTAGTGTTTATAGATTCTGTAGATATGTTAAAGTCTAGCGCTAGTAGTGGACCGTAGGAAGTATGTTGGTGAGTCGGTAAAGTGGGTACGAGTTCTT